TCTCTCTCTCCAGGCTCTGTCCAGTTGGGGGATGGGATCTAGAGTGTGTGTGAGCTTGCCTCAGAGGACTCCCAGACTGCTGGTTCTTCTCCTCCTCCTGTCTCCACACTGGGTCCTTGCTGAGTGGGTAGTTTTATGCACTGCTCTGGTTTGCCAGAAGTGGCTTAGTCATGCTGGCCAAATGACCCAGAAGCTGTCTGCGGACAAATGCTCGCTCCCTCGGCCAGTAAAGTGAGATGAGCGCCGCAACCCCAGAGTCGTCCACAACTAGACCTAACGGTCAGGGGTCCCTTTACCTTTTTACCAGGCACTAAGAGGAGATTACCTGCAAGGAGATTTCAAGCCTTCCTCTTCAGCCTCTTGGTTTCTGTTCTTTGTTTTAACAATTCAATTGAAACAAGCTTTCATTAGCCACACACAGACATATATGTCAATTGGCTATTTTAACCTAGGGAGGATGATTCCCCACCCCAGAAATTGGGTATTCAGCAAGTAATTTCCTCACTTTCCACTAATAGAGGCTGTTTGAGAAATTTCTTTTTGAAGTCAGTTTACTTTTAGGTTTTCTCCTTCCCCCACTGAGTATTTCCACTCTTTTGGGTAAAGGGAATTTTGATAAGGTCTACTTGTTCCTTTGCTTCTGATGGAAGATTGTTTAACCCATCCCCTCCCTGAAACACACTTTATTTTGACAGAAAATGCTTGGGGTCCCCTCCTTCTTTGTTTTGGATTAAAGTTGCAAGTTTGCTTGTGAGCAGTTCTCAGGGTGGGGGGTCAATCTCAGGTTTTCCTCAGCATGGGATTGTAAGGGAGGGGCTTTGGTAATGGGAAGGTGAGGCAAATGAATAGAGGGCTGTTTGAAATTCTTGGAGCATAAGGAAAACTGTCAGATTGAGTGGAGCCAACTTGGTTTGTGAAACTGGATTGAGCAGTTGATTAAACTTGGGGTCGGATGCCACAACATTGTGTGGACCTGCCCTCTGTCTCAAATACGGGGTAAATAGTTTGAAGCTTTAGGTCTGATCCTTGGTACATTGTGATACAGTTGTAGGTTCTGGTGAAGCCACTGAATTTTGGGGATGTGTTTCAGACCAAGGTGTCAGGAACTTATCTCAAGTACCTACCTAAATTATCCCAAATATCTACCTAAATTGTAATACGTTTGTGCCAAAGCACTGTGACATCAGTGAAACCAGAATAAAAAGATAACCTAGTTCTTAGTTTTATTGAGCTGTGAAGCAGAGTTCCAAGTCATTTGCATAGGCAACTCTTACTCCTTCTGCAGTGATTTCAAATCCTTCCTAACCAGATTCTGAATTCCGGAAGTCAAAGTCCGCTTCGGTGACCACATTACAGTATAAACAGTACACTTGCAAATGGCCTGTTAGTCATTAAACACAAACAAGTGTTTTTATTTTGTCTCCAGTGAGTGCATTTTCTGCATACTGTTTGGATTTTTTCTTTCTTTTTAACACAGCAGCTGTGGTCCTCTAAGCATCATTGGGAGGCCCATAAAAATCTGTTGGGTTCGTACTGGAATGCCTCCTTTTTCTTGAGCCAATACTAAATGTTTGCCTCCTTATATATAACATTCCATTGTTGTTTTTCCGCCTGTAGCTAGTTCACATTTCCCTCCTAATCGTTTTGTTTTGTTTTCTAGGTAGTCTGTTGTAACTGGCAGATCAAAATAAGATAATAGATTGCAAAACCTGATGAAATTCCATAAGCAGATAAAGATACATGTTTTTCTACTATTTGACTCGTGTTAAAGTGGCTTAGCAATGATTTGCAGTCCAAAGCAACTCTTATTGTATGGGTTTCAGCTTGAAAGAAGCACATGTTGTGTGTGTCCACACTTACCCTGGTCACTAGGCTGAGCATATAATGCTTAAGTTTTCATCTCAAGCATAGTAAAGGTTATAAACAGAAGCAATTTTTGAAAATCACAATACTGTGTGCTGAACATCTTCCTGAACTACTAAGATGCTTAGCACAGGTACATTACGTGACTGTTACTTATTTACAGAAGTTCATTTAATACAAATTCTTTTGTGGCAGCCTTTGGGCCGAGGCAAAAATATTCACTCAGAGATCAAGTAGAGAAGTTCAAGGTTTTACTGGCTTCCTTTTTAAATCCTTCAAGTGTAGGCTTGTTTAAGGCAGATGGAGATAGAAGTTTCATGACTTTTTTGGTCTGTTTATAATTTATGACTCTAATTAAGAATGGCTTTTTAACAAAAGAGCACTGATTTAATTTTTTTTAAAAAATGCTTTTTGGGAGGAGGGGGGGTCATCTCTTTTTGCTTTAACAAATGTGCCTCAGGGTTTGGTCCCTCCAAAATAATTTCAGGTTTTTATTACAACACTGAAAGAGAGAGAAACCTCATTCACATGCATTTAACAAGATTAGGCCAATATTATTTTAAAGACCTGTTAAGAAACTCAATTTTGTCTTTCTTTCTTTTTTGTTTGTTTCTTTCCACCCAATCAGATGATCTGGGTGTGCCTGATAAATTGATTACGTCTTCTCACAAGGGATTGTACCACTTCCCACATTGATCTCTACTAATCCAAACTAGACAGTGGTAGTCACCAAAAGATCGACTGCCAAACAACCCCCCTTACCTTATGTGACACCTGTTTTTGGTTGTCCTTTCTCACCCATGCCCAGTAGAGAATTACAGCACAGAACAAGTCATGACAGATGCTGGCAGCTAGATAAACAATTGAGTGGCCCAAGATAACATTTTAAAACAATTTTAATACTAGTAGCACTTTATTTTGCATTAAAATCATTATTGAGTAAATTCTTTTGATTGGAGCCACAAATAGAGAGCCACTTGTTCAACAGGGCTTCCTCCTCCCTCTGCAGCCTTCATAGGGTCATAGGATTGTAGAGTTGGAAGGTACTCTGAGGGTCCCATAGTCCAACCCTGTGCAATGCAGGAATCTCAACTAAAGCATCCATGACAGATGACCATCCAACTTCTGCTTTAAACCCTACAAAGAAGGAAAGTCCACCAGCTTCCTAGGGAGTCCGTTCCACTGTTGAACAGCTCACTGTCAGGTGAGGGGGCACTCTTGAACAGTGTGGGCTTTGTTTCCCTGGGTAGAGAGGATGACCCAAAGCTGGATTGGGGAAACTTTGCCCAATTAACATTTCTGGCCATTAAGCAGATAGAAGTGAATATGGGCAGAGTGGGGTGGGGAGATGTGAAATTTGATCAACTTTTAAGGGCTGTTCTCCATATCACTTTAGGTCCTGTTTTAAACCTTTAGTTGCTATGATTTATGTGAATTTTTTTCAGTTTGGTTGTGTACTTTTTGTGTGTTTTATTTATTGTTTACGACTAAGGCCAGTGGAAGTGATGGTATTTCATCTGAACTATTTAAAATTTTAAAAGATGATGGTGTTAAGGTGCTACACTCAATATGTCATCAAATTTGGAAAACTCAGCAATGGGCAGAGGATTGGTTGAAGATCAGTCTACATCCCAATCCCAAAGAAGGACAGTGCCAAAGAATGCTCCAACTACTGCACAATTGCACTCATTTCACACGCTAGCAAGGTTATGCTTAAAATTCTACAAGGCAGGCTTAAACAGTATGCGGACAGAGAACTCCCAGAAGTGCAAGTTGGATTTCGAAGGGGCAGAGGAACCAGAGACCAAATTGCAAACATGCGCTGGATTATGGAGAAAGCTAGAGAGTCCCAGAAAGACATCTACTTCTGCTTCATTGACTATGCAAAAGCGTTTGACTGTGTCGACCACAGCAAACTATGGCAGGTTCTTAAAGAAATGAGAGTGCCTGATCACCTCATCTGTCTCCTGAGAAATCTCTATGTGGGACAAGAAGCTACAGTTAGAACTGGATATGGAACAACTGATTGGTTCAAAATTGGGAAAGGAGTACGACAAGGCTGTCTCCCTGCTTATTTAACTTATATGCAGAATTCATCATGCGAAAGGCTGAGCTGGATGAATCCCAAGCCGGAATTAAGATTGCCGGAAGAAATATAAACAACCTCAGATATGCAGATGACACAACCTTAATGGCAGAAAGCGAGGAGGAATTAAAGAACCTTTTAATGAGGGTGAAAGAGGAAGTTCAACGTCAAAAAAACTAAGATCATGGCCACTGGTCCCATCACCCCCTGGCAAATAGAAGGGGAAGAAATGGAGGCAGTGAGAGATTTTACTTTCTTGGGCTCCATGATTACTGCAGATGGTGACAGCAGTCACGAAATTAAGAGACGCCTGCTTCTTGGGAGAAAAGCAATGGCAAACCTAGACAGCATCTTAAAAAGCAGAGACATCACCTTGCCGACAAAGGTCCGTATAGTTAAAGCTATGGTTTTCCCAGTAGTGATGTATGGAAGTGAGAGCTGGACCATAAAGAAGGCTGATCGCAGAAGAATTGATGGTTTTGAATTATGGTGCTGGAGGAGACTCTTAAGAGTCCCATGGACTGCAAGAAGATCAAACCTATCCATTCTTAAGGAAATCAGCCCTGAGTGCTCACTGGAAGGACAGATCGTGAAGCTGAGGCTCCAATACTTTGGCCACCTCATGAGAAGAGAAGACTCCCTGGAAAAGACCCTGATGTTGGGAAAGATGGAGGGCACAAGGAGAAGGGGACGACAGAGGATAAGATGGTGGGACAGTGTTCTTGAAGCTACGAACATGAGTTTGACCAAGCTGTGGGAGGCAGTGGAAGACAGGAGTACCTGGCATGCTCTGGTCCATGGGGTCACGAAGAGTCGGACACGACTAAATGACTAAACAACAACAATTCTAGGCTGCATTAACAGAAGTATAGTGTACAGATCAAGGGAACTAATAGTTCCATTTTATTCTGCCTTGGTCAAACCACACCTGGAATACTTTGTCCAGTTTTGGGTGCCACAATTTAAGAAGGATGTTGACAACCTGGAACGTGTGCAGAGGAGGGCACCCAAGATTATCAAGGGTCTCGAATCCATGCCTTACGAAGAGCACTTGAAGGAGCTAGGTATGTTTAGCCTGGAAAAGAGAAGACTGAGAGGGAGATATATTAGCCATCTTCAAATTTCTTAAGGGCTGTCACATGGAAGAGGCAACAAGCTTGTTGTCTCCTGCTCTGGAGGGTAGGACTTGAAGCAATGGCTTCAAGTTACAAGAAAAGAGATTCCGACTAAACATACAGAAAAAACTTTCTGACAGTAAGAGCTGTTCTACAGTGGAACGATCCCCCTGGGGAGGTTGTGGACTCTCCTTCCTTGGGGGTTTTTAAGCAGAGGTTGGATGGCCATCTGTCATGGATGCCTTAGCTGAGATTTTTGCATTGCACGGGGTTGGACAAGATGGCCTTCAGGGTCCCTTTCAACTCTACAATTCTATGATGAATCTTTCCCCACCCATCTTTTTCTGTGTTATAAAGATAATACTATTCTTGTTATTGATACATTTGTGCTGCTTGTTCTTAAAAACCACCAAGCTGGTCTACAGTAAAATAATAACAATGAATATATGAAATCTTCACAAAATAGTAGAAACAGCAATTAAAATAAACCATAACATTCAGCAGACAGAAAAAAAACCCAATCAAATGCTGGGATGCCTGAACATGTAAAAGGTTCTTTGCCTGGCACGGAAACAAAAGTCTGTGCCAGATGAGCTTCCTTGCTATGGGCATTCCACAGATGAGGCACAATTTTAAAAGCCCTCTTCTCAGTCACCACCAGCCTAACTTCAGGTGGAGAGAAAGAGAAAGAGAGAGAGCGCATGCAAAGCATCAGAGGATGACTGGTAAGTTTGGATAGGCTTCTGTAGTAAATGGCGTTTCTTCAAGTACATGGGTTCCAAGCCTGTTAGAGCTTTGTAGGTAATCCACAGCACTTAGACTTGAGCCCAGAAAGAGACCGGTGGCCAACAGGCAGCCAGCAAAGCTCTCTAAGTTACAGCAGTGGTACCTTGCCCCCCTTTCATAGGCCCATTTGCAGACTGCAAAATTGTGGAGAGGTGGCATTTTTATTATTCATTTTGGATAGGCAAGGAAATAGGTTTTTTAAAGTAATTTTCAGGATCTGGCATTTACTGGGAAAAACTTCTTTCTTTAACAATGCAGATTTGCTTCTACAATTGAAAATTTGCTAGATTTCTTCCTTGCCCTTAAATACTTGCAAAGGAAGATCATGTGCTCCAAGCACGTGACTCTCATAACAACTCACAATGTTAGTGACCTGCCAAATGCATTTTGTACTAATTGAACTTTCCAATAATTCAAAGGCCCTTGTGCTTGGTAGTTAAGGACCCACTTAAATCCTTGTGCTCGCGCGCGTGCGCGCACACACACACACACACACATCCATTACAAGGAAACACAGCTACAGGTGTAGAAGGTCACAGGTATATCAGCTGTACATACCGGTACTTGAAATTTAATTATTCAGCCATTCTTATTAAGAATATAAAAGTAGAAGTGCACCAGCATTTCTGTGGCTTCACAACCATAAAGTAACAAAAAACATAGTAAGAGGACAATCCTCATTAGAACTGTGATATTTTGAAATAAACTATGCTAAGCTCAGTCTAAAACCTACTGAACCTTGTAGCAAGACTCCAGTTTGACCCTATTGATTTTGGATTAGGTGCCAAGTACACTTCAATCTACTTGGTTTTATGATGGAGATGCTGCAGTAATAGTTACAGCTAGTAAATGCTGAACAGCCATGGCAGAGTAGTTAAACTTAGACCACTATTAAAGTACTTTTACATGTGACATTCACAGCAGACCTGTCATCTTTTATCTGCGTGCAATTGCAGAACTGGTGTCAGTTCTAAAGTAATGATATTGAGGGCTTCATAAATTACCCTGGTGATGCTCAGGAGAAGACAGTGTCACATCTAAATAAGTGTTTTGCTTCCAGGGTAATGTATGTCTTCATCTGGCCCAGCAGTCAGCATATTGCCCTATGTTGATGGATATTGTCAGCTTGAAGCTCTACTACATTTCACTGCACAATAAACATGGCTGTCAACACCCTATAAAGTGAAATCAATTTATCCTGTATGGTCAGTGCATTTTAAATGAAATTAATGTACTGTGGGCATAGTGGCAAAAAGGTAGCGTATTAGTTATGCACCCTCTGTCTTAAGACTTTATCCATAAAAATGAATTGCCTACACAAAACAACAAAAATAATTATTGTGCACCTTAACGTACAGGGGCTTTTTTAACACCAATTTAGCAGAGGTAGGATTCTACATAATTTAAAATATAGATTCAGATCTTGAGCTGATGTAAATCATCTGTCCACTGTGAAGTAAACAGAGCTTTACTGATTTATAGTAGTTTAGATTTCATCAAGCTTTGTCATTTCATAGGCATTGAGGATTTGTCATATATGTATTTGAATTGGAGGGGAAAGATCTGAAATACCGTTGTATGTGAGGGATATGCTTTGTTGTTTTGACACACATCAAATTTAAAAATTATTCATGCCATTTTTTTATTGTGCAAATGTAGCCATCTTTCAAAAGCATATCAAGAATGATTCCAAATATTTCAATTGAGGATCACAAAGCCACCAGCCTCAGAGCTTGGATGCATGCCATAGCTCCAGTTATTACATGTATCTATCATGTAAACCTGCATGAATTCTTTGGCTACATGTGATAGGTACTTGATGAAAAGCATACTAGGCTCCATCCGTAGAAGACCTTGATGTCCACTATAATGGAAAACAATTGAGTTCATGTTGTATCATAAGCTTGATCAGACAGCTTGAAGCACAAGTACTGGTGTTAATTCTTTGAACTTGGAACACCTCAAAGACATTTATTCAGTGAAGGATACCTGAATTAAGAATTGTGTCTGCCTTGACGAAATAGGCTTCTGAGCACTATAGTTTTAGTTATTCAAATATCCTGGGTGACTTTAAAACCATTTGGGCAAATGGTGAACTACACATGGAAAAATAAGATAGGGCTTTGGTCACCTGGTCATTTTTATTATGGGCATATTAAAACATGGCTTTCCCTACTTCCCATACATTTAACAGTTTGTTATTTTCTTTCCTGTTAAGAGGTATATCTGAGGCAGGAGTGAGGCATCTTTTTCAGATCAAGAATCAGTGCTTTTTTTCCTAGAAGAAAAGCATTGCCAAGAGCTACATTCTCTTCTGGGCAACTTTTCCAGGGCGACATACCACTAGTGGGCAGGACCAGTGCTTTTTATCTAAAAAAAGTGTTTAGGGGTACTCTCATTTTCCTACTCACATTGAAATACTGCCCCTCAATGAGGCCAAACCTAGATTCATAAAATGTTTAGGGGTATACATACCCCCAGAAGAAATGCACTGGGCAGGGCAAGAGGTAAAAGTGGATAGAACAACGAAGGCAAATTTATCATTGTACTATAGACCAGTTCTTAACACATTCACATGCTTCATTTTATTGTCCATCTAGATGAGCAAGAGGCATTATCAAAATCCAATTACACATTCCATCCGGGCAAAACACTGGAGTACAAAGTATGGCCAGTGATGGGGTGATCTGGAGAAAGTTCTAAGAACTAGGCAGAGAGGCCTGGCAGGCCACATTTGGTCCAAGGACCTCAGAGTTCCCCACACTTGATCTAGGGCATAGAAATTAAAGGCTCAAAATTTAATATGTCTTTGAAGTTTCTCATTGGCTCCTACAAGAATGAATAATGAATAGCATGAATGAACTCATATAAATGAATTCGTAAGTGCTTTGTGTCATAGATCTGAAAAGAGAAAGCAAGAACTTGAAATGGACAGGGCATCATAGGTGGCAGCCCCACCATCCAGACAATGTAATAATATTTGCATCCATCTTGTTTCTTCCTGCTCTGATATTACAGGAAGTAAAGCAATGAATGGTTCTGCAGCTAAACTACAGCAGTATTATTGTTGGCCAACAGGAGGTGCCACTGTGGCTGAAGCTCGAGTCTACAGGGACGCCCGGGGCCGAAGTAGCAGTGAGCCACATATCAAACGACCAATGAACGCTTTCATGGTTTGGGCAAAGGATGAACGCAGAAAAATCCTTCAGGCTTTTCCTGACATGCACAACTCCAATATTAGCAAAATCCTTGGTAAGTACAAAACCATTAATAATAGCACAATCAAAACTGGTAATTGCTTTGCAATTTTATATGCAGATTATGAATGGTGAGAGGGAATAATTTCTTAGATTTGTTGATTGAATTAAGTTACTGAACTCCAGAACGCTGCAAATGTGGGAGGGAATACTAGTAGTTAGATAGGGAACAGCAAACAACTCCTATATGCCCTTTGCTGTTAGAATGTTTTGCCTTTCCGTAGGAGGTTTGCTATGTTCATTGTCCTCTGATTAATTAAAAACTACACTGATTAATTTAAAACTAAGGCTGCAAGTCTATGCACACTTGCAGGAAGTAAGTCCCATTGAACTCAATGGAGCTTAGTTCTGAGCAGAGATATATATATATATATATATATATATATATATATATATATAAGATTGCACAGAGAGGTACTCAAGCTTAAGACTGCTACAGAAATTTATGAAGATGAGATTTCTTTAAATAAAAAACATTGGATTTCTATACGAGTTAAAGAACTCAGTTTATACATGGACTATGCCAGTATTATATTGCAAGCCTTTATTAGAATTCATGGTGTATTAGGAAATTCTGCAAGACAAAGTTGGTAACTTTGTTATGTAGGGAAAATGTCTAACCTCATGCAAATATAAGTCTTCATGGCAGGGAGTAAAATGTTCAAACTGTGTAGTCAATACGTTTAATAGAATTTAAATGTTCATTAGGTACTCATTGAACTAAAAAAATAAATAAACAAAAGTGTATTGAGAAAGAAAGCTTAACGTCAAGTTTATTTTAATTCTCTAGAAAAGTAAAATTTAGCCAGCGCTCAGGCTTTGTCTCGCACTAATAAAACTGTTGATTTTTCAAAGAATTGGAGGCCCCAAAGAGGAATTAAAAACATATATGAGAATGAGGGAAAAAATTAAACTGATATTTGTCTATAAATGTAACTCAGACAGAGAACAGTAACGATCAAGTCTCACCTGCAATACTTTGTGCATTATCTTGCAACGTAACAAAGCTATTTCTCTTTCTTGCTTTTTTCCCCTTTCAGAGGTAAAAAAAATATATCTAGAAATAAATATAACTCTGTTCTT